AGTCAATTTTTAGATAATGGATTTATACGTCCGGATCTCTACCAGACAGTCATTATCATCAGACAGTCTAGGAGACGATCATCTCGTTGAAATTTTTGAATTAATGCCGCAATTCTATGAGGCACCAAACCATCAGTGCTTACTAAGTTTCCAAAATAAATGAAGTGGTCGATACACTTAACTAACTTGTTCCCTATCATCAGTTCAGGTGTTGACGCAGACCAGTCTTAAAGTAAAATTTTACATTTAAAGTGGAAACGCATTTCAAGCATGCTTTTATTGTTGTGCAATTTCATTAGAACACAGTGATTTTTATCAACATTATCACCAAACAGAATTATATCATTTGAGTATTTCGAGTTCACAAGTTAACTACCTAATAGAAAATCAACCCTTGAAAAGTCAGATGATGACAGAGTTGTTTTTCTTACTGTCAATGACAAGGTTCTATAAAAATGAAGAAAATGAACAGCCCTAACGAATACAACTTGAAGTTGATAACTCTGATGACAGTTCACCTTGAAATTTAACTTAGACAATAGTGTTCGAGCAGAGAGCCTGTACGTGGTTAGATAAATAAGTGGAAAAAACTTTTGTTATGATGATCAGTGTCCTAAATTTGATAACCCACCAGGCGACTACTCAAAAGTGGATGAGAAAGTATATTAAGCCACCAAACAAAATGTGCAAATACTCATTTATATATATATATATGCCATCGATTGACCTCATTTAGCTACCTCTGATTGGCTTACTATATCTCCTTTACCTCCTGAAAAATAAGTCTTGCTGCTTATATTTAAGTGGAGATGTTGAGGGAATCGTTATTTTCTTGATGATCTTGGGGTCTGGGCATCATTTCTTCTGTGTTGAATTAGGATTAACAGCAGATGTATGATAAGCATTCGGGCATTCATTCATTTTGGTATCATTCTTAAGATGAATAACACAAAGGCATTTATATATAATATCTTTCAACTTAAGATTGAAATTGACTTTATTCTGCTTAAACTTCTGGTGCGAATATCTGAATCTGACGATGATTGTAATCTGCATACAAAAATAAAACACCTAAATTCTTTGTCTGAGTGTGATCGCAACTTAAAATTCTCGGATTGCTTGTTAACAAACAGCATATGAAACATAATCATCTTTAGATCTCTTAATAGTTTAAAGACAATCATAAATTTCTGTTGGTTTTTGTATGGTAGTATCAAAAGTAAAGACATGGGTTTTTTGGCAAGATAAGATTTAAATACTTTTCATACTCAGCTGCTCCAAGTTTCCGAAGAAGAATTTTCATCTAAGAAGCGTCATCATGATGAAAAAAATCAACCTGCAAAACGTTTCATATTTCTTGAACCATGCTTCAAATGTGACGCTTGCATCAGGATCAAAGTGAAACTCGTTTAATCGATCTGTTATTCGGTAGTTGAGCCCCATTGTTCGAATACTTGGACTGAAGAATTTTGTGCCATCATTTCGATCATCTTTAATTGCGATGCTTGAAATTCTTTTTACTGCTGCTGTAAAATTATTTAGGCTGATCTGCTGAAATTAACATTCCGGAATTTTGTTTTTTTCCCGTGGGTTTGGGTAAAATAATAACATCAGAAACTGTTATGACGGGCAATAGTGAACATTACATCGATTTAAGTACATATAAAACGTGTCATTTGTAAAAGTGATAAACTATAAAACACATAATTAAAAAAAATCTTCACAAAGGACATATTTTGCATTTAAAACGTAATCTGTGCAAAACTCTACTATTTTAGCGTATTATACTAATTAATTCTATCCAGAATATGTACGCATTCTATTGGCTTTTGTAGTACAATAATTTTGAATTGATAACTGTCGAGCTTAATAATGAAGTTATTAAGGAGACTTTTTTCACTCACATATTCTTTATCTTGCGAATAATTCAAGGTGGCTTTTTAAAGTAATCGAATTTAAAATGCTTTAAAGAGTTAATTTGTCGGGATCAACCAGCTGCTGATGATAATATGACTGAATTTTGATCGGTTTTAGGTAAAATACACGCATCCTGTTCGGATCTCTCTGAAATAGCCATTATATCTCAAGTTTATAGAAAATATATCGAGTGCAGTTAGCATTAGAGTCCAGGGAGAGTCCCAAATTTTTCTTCTAGCCTTTTCTTTGTATCATGTAGTTGTCTCATATTTCCTTCTCCTGAAGCTTTCTGGGCTGTCACTGCTAGGTCTTCCACGCATTTCTGTCCGTTGACTGTAATGGTCCTCCTCACTCTCATGTTTACTTCTGTGTATTCGGCCTGCGCCCTGACTTCTTCTGTTCTTGTTCGACTGTTGTTAATTACTGTCTTCTTGTTCTCTTTTACTTCAATCCTGACCAAGATTTTGATTGAGATCCATTACTTATGGTGATACCTCTTGAGGCCCAGCACTTCCTGACATGTTGATGTTAATGCTTTATTGAACCCTTTCCAGTTGTCCTCCATAGTAGTTTCTTCTTCTTTTTGGTCCTGTAAGGCTTGAAACCTGTTGTTGAGAGCTGTCTTGTCTTCATTGAGTTTGTCAGTATCTCGAAGGAAGGCTGTATTGAAGATTTGCAATACTGTTTCTCCAGTTGTTCAATGCTTCTTTAGCTTCAGTTTCATCTTGACCACAACTAGGTGGTGATCTGAAGCTATGTCAGCTCCTTTCTCGGTTCTCACGTCTTCCAATGACCTTCTGAATTTTTGTTGGTAGAAATATGATCGATCTGATTCTGTGTAATGTGATTCGTTGAGACCCATGTAGCTTTGTGTATTCGTTTGTGTGGGAATATTGTCCCGCCTATAACCATTTTGCTGATTGCACATAAATTTGCGAATCTCTCATCATTCTCGCTCTTTTCTCCCAGTCAGTCAGTGTCATCCCATGATATCTTCATACCTGATGTTGTCCATACCGACCTTGGTGTTTAGGTCTCCCATTAGGGTGGTCAGATGCTTTGCTGAGTACTATTCGACGCTCAGTCTCTTGTAGGACTGATCTTTATAATCGTCGTTGCTATCATTGGTCGGTGCATCACACTGGATAACATTCTTTGTGATTTCCTCCTTCTTTGTTTTGATGGATGCTTTAATGATTCTTGATCTATGAACCCACTATCCTACAATTGCTTTTCATTCGTTTTTGGACAGCATGAGAGAAACCCCCTGAGTGTGAGGAGCATTTTCTTCTTCGTGACCAGAGTACAGCAGCACCTCCTTTTAATCTAACCTGTTTTGTCCAATAGGTTTAGCTTATGCCAAGCACTCTTCATTTTCGTAACTGTTCGATTGTTCCTCCCGGTCTTCCACATTGTCCGAGCATTCGGTGTACCTATATCATTTGTTGCTCTGGTCGTTAGAAGGAGCATTATTCTCCTGACTTTCGAAGAATATCGACTTTCACCACGAGTCGCCATAATTCTTCTGAATGGAGATCTTTCAACTGCCAGGGTTTGAATTATATTTCTGGTTAGTTTTTTTTGGCAAGATTGTTTTCTACGGGATGAAGCTTCCAACCCAATATCCACTCCTCATCCTGTATCAAGGCTTTCGACCAGGTGTAACCCTATAAGTGCTCCAGGAGAATTTATTTAATAGTTGATTAATTGAAAACGGCGAGATTTCTTGACCTCATTTTCATGGTTAAATAGAAAAACCAATTAAAAAAAATACCGAATAACGAATCATCTATATACTTTTGCTAGGGGGAGAATGTAATCAAAATAAGAAAGATAGTATTTTCAGAAATCAATAAATTCATTGTATTTCGTTGCTTTCACTCCAGTTACATACATACAAGCAAATATGTTTAATTATCTTTAATTATGAAAACTAGTAGAAGCCCGCTTTTCTCCTTTGACGAGAATATTCCATTAAAAAACTATGCCTTCAAGCAAAAAGGTGTTTATGTAGTTCAATAGCTCATTGCCTATTAGACATTGGGGACAATGTGGATTCAATGATTTAGTTCAAACTTATCAATAAGCAATTCAAATGAACATTAAAATCCACACAAGTCGTAACAATTAGGGGGCATGAACTTGACCTTTGTATTCAAAAAGATTCATTGGCAGTATTTTGACCCTGATTTTCTTTAATAATTTGTAATTGCAAACTAGTGAGTTGAACTTGTGCTTTCTTCTTTCCTTTCTAAACTGCCAAAAACCCTAACCAATGAAATAATCCTAACCTTCCATAACTATTAATTCAAGTCGTTATGAAAAGAAGCTCCTCTCTTGAAATTGCAGTTCTTAGATTCCTTCACACTACATAAATTATTCGTTATTGGTGGACAGTTCACTTTTCAATGTTTTGTTAGAAATAGTTGTGCATATTAACCTGTATGTGTATAGTTGGAGAAAAAGTAACGAAATACAATGAACTCATCGTATTCTGCAAATACTGTCGTCTTTGCTTTGCTTAATTTTGTGAAGGGAACCAATAGTATAAGGAAGAAGCTGATTACTGGAAACAAACTAAATAATTGGTGCACATCGGAAATTGTTTTATTTCTATTATTAAGTGTACATATTGTATTACAAAATTTTTTTTTTTAATAGTTCATATCGTGAAGTGATGTTATTTGAACTGTCACTGAAAATCAAGGAACATCGAACTGCTTTTCCGTCCAAGTATGGGACTCCTTAACAGTAATCATTTATTATCCCACCACAGAGATTGGAACTCGGGACCTTCAGTCTTGCATGCGAACACTTATCCTCTAGACTAGTGAGCTTATACTAAATGGTGGATATGTTTAACTTTAATCAGTTCACGATATCATACGATTCCCTGTGATGAGGTTGTGGATATGCACTACCGATGTGTTCTACACTGAGAAGCAATAGGTTTCTAATGATTTCTGGTTTTCAATAGTTGTCCACCTAAGATCACATCGTAATTAGAATTACGAAAATTTCATTCTCTACAAGCCCTTCTTTATACCGAAAATTGCTTTTATAATAATTTTTTTCTTATCAAGTTGGTCAACTATCTTTGGGTCGTGAAGAAGCATTCAATATATTTAAGCAAGATTATCCACTTCAAGATGAAATCAACAAAAAGAAGGAAGAATTAAAGTCACTTTATGCTGAAGCAAAACTACAAGGAAGTAAAATGTCCAAGGCGAAAGAAGAAGTTGGTAAGTGGATAAATATATTTTGCTCTATAATAAAACTTTGACGCCTGTGACTGAATAACAATCAACATGCTTTCTTGAATTTCTCATGAGAGTCATGGCTAATGGACGTCGGAAGTGAAATATTTGTGAGTAAAAGCATTGGATAACCGTTATTTTATATTTAGAAGCGTGTACCATTGGGCGATAACTTTATGGTTTAATGATTGAGTACTTAAAGGTCTTGTCTTTAACCATTTTCGTGGTCGCGGGTTTACATTGCTAGGATTCCTCGTACTAGAACAAGACGGCACTCTAGTGTTCATTTGTTTCATTGTTTCATTGCTCTTCGTTTAATAAATATTTTCTTTTTGGATATACTGTCAGGTGCTATTCGTGTTCAACTCAACTCCTTAATCCAAACCGATCAAAATGATTCTAAAACACAAAATTTAGTGACAGAATTACGCAATCAGTTAGAATTAAAAAGAACTGAATATCGAGATTCATATAGTTCACTCAAAGAATTGAAACCACGAGTGGAACATTTACAACATTCATTGGAATTGGCTAAAATGCGTTTAGTTCAAGATTTTGAATCTTGGTGGAATCAAATGAGTATTGAACAAAGTGATGATAATATTTCACATCAACAACGGAATGAATCGAATATTTTAAATTCTTTGAATAACCCAAAGAATGTGAAGGTAAGTAAACTAATTGGCCCTAAGCAACATTCAGAAATATTTTTAGTTCAATATAAGTGTGATTATAATATATTTTGTTTATATGTATCTAGCCTAATGATGATAAGAAACATCAGCGTATAAAAATAATAACTCATCAAAATTCCTGTATCTATCCGTAGTTCTGTACGGATAAATAGTCAAAGTGTATTGACAAGTAATCATCCTCACTTATATACTTGGCTAGTAGTAAGACTGTTTTTTTGTATACAATTTTGGATTATGCTATTATAATTATCTATGAAATCAGTGACTCGAAGTATTCAATTGTGGTATAGCTAAGATCACTTCACAATTTCAACTCTTAAAACAATTTCAACCGATTCCATGTTTTTACTTTTGTTTAGTTGAATGACACAAGCTCAGTTTGCCCAGTAGAAGATAAAAATCTATCTGAATCTTCAAAACAATGTAAGTAACGCATAAATTTTACTTGACGTAAATTGATGCATTCTTTCAATCATATTTGTTTGTTATGCGTATGATCAATCATTGACAATTGTCAATGACCAAACAAATCTAGAACTCCAGTCAAATTAAAAGAAAAACTTCTTTGTATAATAAATATATTCCACATATTTGTAATTATTTGTAACTCTATATCAGTTTATAATGTTTATGTAGAATAAGTGGTTAAGGCTTTAACGTTTAAATCAAACAGTTCTGGGTGTTTAGTCCCAGGGTGAACATCAACTGTGGAATTCAGGTACATCCAGTTAAAGCCCATAATTGGACGAGAGGCGTGTCCTGGATACCACTGCTATCCACGTTTCCTCTATTCTACATAAACTTATATCATATTGGCGATATCGGGACAATCAGCGAAATTTGCACATATAATAACCAAGGCTGACCAAATTTCGGTGGGGAAATCAGAACTATTTTAAATAAATTTATGTTTATGATTTGACCTACAAATATGTACATTAAATTCATCCTCTTTTGATCCACTTCCTACTTATGGCTATACACTTGAAGTACTGTCCTCTCTTCCATTTTTTATGACACAGCTGTAAGTTTTCAGGGGTCAAACTCTCCATCTGTGTTGTTATTTCACGTTTTACCGTAGCCAAACTATCGCAGTGGATTTTAGAAACAAGAAAATCTTTAAAGGTTATATCTGGTGAATAGAAATAATACTGGTCAATTGATGCACATGAGATTTGTGAGGAATTACTACGTAGTGTACATACTCGTTGTCATCTATTTGTTTGATAGACTGAATATATGAGAAAATTACACGTTTTACGAATTATAGTATATTCAAAATGATGTCACTAAGGCTCGACTAATTCACAATGTATTAGGAGTTTGAGCATAATGTAATCCAATGTTCGTTTAGATATGTTCAAAACTAATGATCATCATAGATCAGTCCTCTTATTTACTTCATTTACCATATATGTATGCATGCCATCGTTTAATAATTATTTCTGTTATATTGTATAAGTTGATATTCTGTGTTGTTTATACTCCGTTAATGGGAAATATAAAAGTTCCCTGGTTGAAATCATGAGTCAATTGAAGCTAGAACACCATGGAAAACCTGGAAGCAGTGGACGGCCGTTTCGCCCTATTGTGGGACTTCTCAGCATCGTGCATCCACAACCTCGCCCCCCGTGAGACTCAAACCCAGGACTTATCAGTCTCACGCGCGAGCACTTAACCATTAGACCACTGAGCCAGCATCTAACGGTGTTAATGTCTAACTTCAAATAATCCACATTTGTGAAACGTTCTGCAATGATTTACAAGTTTCAGTAGTTAAGGTGCTATTTAATAGAAAGATGTAGTCTGATAATAATAATAATAATAATAATAATAATAATATTAGTAATAATAATGATAATAATAGCGCTAGTAGTAATAACAATACAAAGTAGTAAAAGAAGGTAAACGTGTAACCTGTTCACCAAATACAAGTTTATGTACTTAGATCTAAGGTGTACAGTTTATCTGTGGGCCTTTACTACTACCTGATGACTAAACAGAAGTAAGTGCAGTTTTGAGCCTGCCAAAAGTCAGGTGCATTAACCATTATTTAATTGTTAAAAGTATGGTAGGATAGGAGGTGATTAAGTGTAAATGGTATGGATTTGTTAAATGCTATGATAATTTAAAAACTAATATGTTCTTGTTACTACAAAACTTAATGAATATTAAATAACTGCCTCAGTGGAGCAAGTTGTATTGAAGATTGTTCTAAGAATCTACATTCTCGTACTCCTGAATACTTTTACGTGTGTGGTGGTTCAGTACTTGTCCAATTAGTTCAAACTGTTCATAGTAATGCAGTTGTTAGGAAACAGGTACTAGGTAAGAATGGCAAATCAATTGATGAAGTAGTGAACTTCATCAGTTGAGATGACTGGGACATGTGTTACGTATGCCCAACCACCGACTGCCCCAACGAGCGATGTTTTGTGGTGTAGGAGTAGGTTGGAAGAAAGCTAGGGGCGGCCAGACTTAAACATGGCACAAATCCATTAAGTCACTGACAACTGGATTGAGCCATGTTGGTAGATGTAGACTACCTGATTGAGATCCGCGAGACGATAGCAACTGATGGTTGGAGACCTTGAATGACATGGCTCAAAATCGTTTGCAATGGCGCATGTGCATCCACTCTCTGTGCTCTTCCGAATTTTACTCTTCTGAATTATTCATGTCCATTTTTTTCTCTTTCTAAATTCATTTCAATGGATTATATTCCTTGAGTAACATCTTCGAACCTTAATCTTTCCGATTACTGCTTATACTTTTATTGCCTCTACCACTACAGGATTTGAATCGACAATCATGTACGTACGTACAAAGTTCTACATTGTTGCTGACTGACTAAGTCTCAGTATAAATCAGTAGTTTTTAGTAGTTTATCAAGTTAATGTCTGCTAAATATGTATCAAAACACAGTCCTTCGAACGTTAGTCGCATCAGTTATTCAGCTTAAAAAGTCAGATCTATGTATACAAAAACGAAATATGCTCAACCTTAGACTCAGTAAGTTGGTAATCATCCTAATTATAGGGTGATCTCATCTGACTAGTTTAAATGCACTCTTTCTTTTCGTACGTACACAACTTAAAACCATCTTATTTAAATATTGTTACTGTTGATATTATTATTCACATGTTTTTGTATGATTATCATTATTATTTTCGTGAACATATGAAGAACTTATGGCTTATCCTCACTTTATTACCTCTTATTGAAAACATAATTTCGATTGAATATTTGGTCTGATTTGTAATTATATTATTATTTCCAAAGAGGGCTTAGGGATTTTTGAATTATATGGTAAAAACCATCGACTAATCTTAATTACACATCCACTGACAAACTAGAAGCACTGATTCGTGGTAGTACGAGACTCCTTAGAAGTGAGCACCCATGATCTCACCCTTCGGTCTCGTGTGTGAACACTTAAACTATGGACTACTAAAGTTAAACGTATTGACCATTCGATGTTAGCTTTGAAGTTTACAGTTTAAGCGACCATTCGCAAAATAGAATGCTTAGGTTCAATCTCCTATGGTGGGATCCTGAATGCGCGTTGCTGACAAACCCTTAACAGGATGAAACAGCTATCCAATACTTCCAGATTTTCACAGATGATCCAACTAGTATCAATTTTTCGTTTAATGTATGAAACTTTTACAAGCATCACGACGCCTCACCAATACAGACAATTCTTTGCATCTTAATTAATAATAATTTTACATGTACAACTTAAACTGATCATCGTTTTTCTACTTTTTGTTTGAAAATAGCTTATACAGATTCAAAGTTGAATAAATCACCTACTGAAAGTGAACAGTTAAATAAACATATCAATAATAATTCAGTGAATTATCAACTAAATCATTCAATTCCAATGACTGGTGATCCTGTAGTTGATGCAGATATTCTAACATTTATAAGAGCTAGAGAGAAAATTCGTTCAAAACGTTTAAACATGAATCAACAAATAAGAAGTCCTTGTATCGAATGATCTATATATACTTGATGTAATTGTATTTCATGTATTTTCTTAACAATGAGTCAAAGTTGATCATTTCTATAATTTATTTTGTATACAAACTAGTTCATATAATGGATAGTAGATTCATATATCCCTATGAAACTTGAAACCTGAATAAAACAACTTTCATTTTATTTATTTATTTATTTCAACACATAAATATTGGTGCAAGAGGGCGCCAAATATACATGCGCCACACCATATTTGTGTGTGTGGGCTGTGATACTGCCCGGGTGGGCAGGCCGAAACAGGTGGTTTTGTTAGGGGACCACATCCCGAGCCTTTGACCTAAAGGTCTGACCCACAAGGCAGTGGAGCATCGTGAGGTGATGCATTCCCATGGTAGCCGGTGACCAACGATTGGTTCATATTTCATTTGTTCCCGCAGGATACTGGAGCCCATGTGCACCATTGGTTTGAAATCCGGTTAAAGCGCTGGACATTCGCTTTTCATCCTGTCATTTTCGTAAACAACACCCGTGGTGCGAGAAGGCAGTGAGTAGGACTTCCCTGTCAGAGGCTGTATACGCGTGGCCGTGTGAGAGCATTTCGAGAGGGAGGGCGGGCCCACCCCATTCTCGACCATACCTGAATAAAACAACTTTCATACAATTCTACAATTGATAAAAACCTAACTCCAATTATCAAATAATTATTCTCTCTGAATAGATTCTTAATTGTATATCTTCTTGACTGTATTACAATAAATTACGTCTTATGTACTCTAACTTCAGAAATTAACTAATCAGGGTCATTCAACCGATGAACATTCAAGTCAGTGGAACCAGATAAATATTATCCTCATTCTGATTTTATAAAAGTTGGAAAATTGTTAGAATCAGAAACACTAAGCAATTATATTATCCTAAACTAATAACTCCTATACATTGCGTTCGTTAAACTTTACTCACAATCAAATCTGTGACTTTCAGGTTCCATAAATAAAGTGAAATCAATCACCTTCGAAATAAAACTTTTTTTAGACACTATTTCTGACTGCGGTCAGTTATCGATACAATGTGGTAATCATCTAATGTCATTGATTGTTCCGTAAAGTCAGTCAAGTTGAGATTTATTTGACAGTATAACGGAGTGATTACCATTTAACTGGGAAATTAGTATTATATGTGCGAAATTCGCCTTGAAAATTTACTATGGAGATGTTTTTAGTAGAGTATTGGTTAATGTCTAAACAATAGTATGTTTAATAATTGTAAATTCATGTAATAAACATACCTAAAAGATTCGATACTACAGTATAGAATATTCGCTAAAATTCAGTGATTAAATACAACACAATAATTTCCAATTGCATATGATCATTCTACAATAGCTTCCACATATTTACTACCAAATCTTTTACTACAGATCCACGTACTTAGTCTGAAAAAAGTGCACTATTTATTGATTTTTATCTGTTGTAATGACCACCGTCATTGCTTCTTTCTATTAAATTTACTACCATCACTTTTTTTACATGAGAAATACATTTGTGTTAGTGTGTATATGGGTTAGATAGTGTTCACACTGAATGGATGGATATTTGCAAAAACTATTTCACTCTCTATAGATCAATAACTTGGGGAAATGATAACCAGAAATTGTGTATGCACAAACATGGGACATATTGCATTGTATGTTTTACTGTGATTTTATTTCATTTGTTCGTTTGTATTTCCTTTCTATTTAGCTATTTTTATAGATTGATTGAATAGTTTCAATACAGGCTATCTATAATAAGGTCAGCCCAAATTTTGCGCAATAACCTTGAAACAAAAATATGTTATTGTTTAAAGTGAATATAAATTTTGATGATTGTACGCATATCTAGTAAACACCATATTTCATATTTATAAAATATACAAATAAAAGGCAAATTAAAAAATAGGAATTTCCTATTCTAGGTCATTTCTATTTTAAAAAATTCCAGTTCGATTCCTGAGATGATCTAGAATTTGTTTTTCACAATATTAATTTCAATGGTTAGCATCATGAGTCAGTTGAAGCTAGACCACCATAGAAAACCTGGAAGCACTGGACAACCGTTTCGTCCTATTGTGGGACTCCTCACCAGTGCGCATCCGCGACCTCGCCCCATGCGAGATTCGAACCCAGGACGTGGTCTAGCTTCAACTGACTCATGATCTTAACCATTGAAATTATTATAATATCTAAAATTTGTTTTTCACAATAGTCCTTATAAAAAACCCTGATAAAGTACATTATTCGAATGAGAAATCAACTGACAACTTTGTAATCAATAATACCATAGGAATTAACTGGAATAATTGGGCCGTTAGCTGAACTCAATAAATTCAGGTCTTTCCATGGATCAAATCACTAGCTACTCTTATTGAGACCACCATTGAAAACCTGGAAACACTGGACAGCCTTTTCTCATAGTGTAGGACTTCTCAGCAACGAGCATCAATGACCTCAATACAGGTGACCGAGGACATTATCTTATGCCTCATGTACTAAGGCTTAACGTCTAGACAAATTAGAAGACATCCAATGGTGTTCCGGTATCTAACTTCAATCAGTTCATGATATTGCCTAACCCTCATCTATTGAATGAAGTGAATTACTGTTTCACTCCTTACATAGTTGTGAGACATGGTGGCCTAGCGAAAACAAGTTTGTGATTTACAACATGAAAATTCGACAATCTATACAAATCCCCCTTCTACTAAGTCCAAGTCTATTCAAAATCTACGTGGTTCATAAATAGTCTAACATGGTTATTTTCAAATCACACTGATCTTACACATGTATCTGAAGTGTAAAACCTTATGGGATATTTTAGGCTGATTGAAAAATACATTGGTAATGAGGAAGCTGTCAGAGTAAAGAAAGATTATTGATACAATCTGCTAGGAAATAACAGATACCCAAGAATCTTTTAAAGTCAGATATTGGATACAATTTGATTTACAAATATAATCAGTTGCCAACTAAGTGGTGCTAACGACTTAGCGTTTACGGTAAGATCACAAGTCCTACGTTCAATTCCTGATGTGGTCTTTCGTGGGTAGTCCTGAGTAGTTCTTTACTAGAACAGAGTAATTGTTGATTATTTCCTCGTTTGCAATGGCAATTCAAGTGAGATCAAACCGTGACGAATACGATCCACGTATTAAATTTACTCCCACAAATTCGATTTAGTTAAAAGTATTTGATAAGTCTTGTTAATTTGAACGCTTTATTCGGTTCCTAAGCTATTCTGGTAACCCGCAAGCTAGAACTAAGCAGCGACCTGAACCCAAGAGAAAAGGCGCAAAATAAGTTAAAAACACTTTACTCCAAAGGTTCATTTTTGTACAGAAAAACACGGGTATTTATAGATGTTAACATTTGTTAAATCAACATCATATTTTGACCAATCCGCTAAAAGACATATTGTGCTATTGACGAATAGTAGCACGCCACGTTGATATTCTAGAAAGCTCTATCATGCTCTGATTGGCCAGGACTCTTCGGCTCCTTTAGGGCCTCTGGAGGCTTCGTTGCAGTTCTCGGAAAGCCGACTCAACACCTCCCCCGAATAAGATTTCTTTCTAGGATCTACTTGTAGCTCGACAACTGGGTTGCGACGACATCCCATTATTCTTGTCGTCTTCCTTATCAGAGGCTTCTTTTCATTATCCTTAGGCATATGTAGCGTTGGTGTGTCTAAGATTAACTCTAACGGAAAACTCGGCCAGTTATTGCTAGTCTTCTTCGTGCTTTTGTCCTTATGGATTTGATTTGCATGTCGTATACATGTTCCAAAAGTTCCTCGGACTCTGTACAGAACTTTTCTCATTTTTTGTACAACTTTTCCCGGCTCCCATCGATTCTTCTCGATGTAGAATTTAATGAAAACTTCGTCGCCAACATTAAAGTTCCGGATATTTGGATTGTGACTGTGCCCATCCACTAATTTGGGTGGTAACATGGCGTTAAAAAAGGTCCGAATACACCTTCCGAACATGGCTTCAGAAGGAGACCTACCATCTGGAACATTTGGGTTCGGAGTGGTTCTGTAGTACATTAAAAATTTTGTGATCACCTGTCCAGTTGTCCCTTCGCCTCCCCCTTTCAATAATGCTCGTTTAAAGGTGTCCACAAAGCGTTCTGCTTGTCCGTTTGATTGTGGATGATAGGGTGGGGAACGAAGATGAGTTATTCCATTTGTGCAACAGAAATAATTAAACGATTCTGCGATGAATTGCGAGCCATTATCAGTTACTAAGGTCTCTGGAACTCCGAAGCAGCTAAACACGGTAGACAACTTGTGGATTGTTTCTGATGTACAATCGGGCATGGTGTATACTTCTGGCCACTTGGTAAATGCATCTACGATAATTAGAAACATTTTTTCTTGGATCGGACCAGCGAAATCTGCGTGAATTCCTATCTCGGGTCCTGCAGGCATCGGTCAATACTGAGGTTCGCATTTCAAAGGATTTTTAACAGCTTGAATACATGATGGACAGTTGCGGCACTTATTCTCGATATCTTTGTCCACTGACGGCCAATAAGCATAACTACGAGCCAAAGATTTTATTTTATTGATTTCAGGATGGCCATTGTGAAACTGCTTGAGAACCTTGTGACGTAATAACTTCGGAATAACAACTCGACCACCGAACATAATATATGAGTCGACAACCACTAGTGAGTCCCGTCGACGAAAATATTGCAAAAGTTCCCCGTCAAGGCGATTGTTTGGCCATTTGGTCGAGAGCGTGTTCAATGTCTTATCACTTTCAGTGATCTTCTTGATAGTTTCAAAGTTTACTGGGAGTCCATTGATTGCGTCATCCAAAACGCGATGAACATCTTTCTCAGCTTTTATATTTGCTACAAGAGTCTCCTCTGGGGGTTTTGATTGGGAGCCTATTAATCTTGACAATGCGTCAGCTTGCCCGAAGGCGGTAGTAGACTGATACTTGATCTTGAAGTCGTAACCCAGAAGTGTGGCTGCCCATCGTTGGAGTCGGTTAGCTGTATGAACAGGAATTCCTTACTTTGACCCAAAAACTGCAAGTAGTGGCTTATGGTCTGTTATTAGGGTAAAATGTCGACTGTATATCATCTTGTGGAATTTTTTCACTGCAAAGATAATTGATAGGGCTATGGTTCCTTTCGG